TTGGCAAGAGCTTTTCCAGAGATCTGCTAAAAAAATCGTATGCAAAAAGTGAAAACCCTATGTGATTTTTTCGACTCGATCTACATTCTATGCCCTATTCTGAAGATTCCCTTTTTTGAGTAGTTCCGCCTTCTACGACTTATTCTGAGAAATCCATAAAAATTTGAGTCGTTTTGGGATGAGAAATGAGTGAAATATACGGTTTTTAATTTTTGACAGAAACAGACGAAAAACCGGTTGTCGCCAAAATTGGCTTTTCTGAAGTTGTGATTGAGTGGGGAATGAAACAAAGACGAGCCACGATGATTAGCGTGGTCGATTACCTATGATCCACGTGTTTCTGAGATTCCCAGACGTGTCTGGAACGAGATAGGTGTGTCTTCGGGAAACGTCTGTATCTCTGTAACCAAAGGTGATGGAGACCTAAGCCTTGCGTAGTTTTGACGACAAATGTTCTGGCTATCGATTGGCGTTATTTGAGATTGAATTTCATGGTGTGGTTTGGAAATGGTAAGCTTTCGGATTTTATCTCGAATGGTAAACCTGATCGGGAGTTCTGAAGTTTTCATAGGTTTACGTCCCAAAATGTCGAGTTTCAGATTTGAAAATCGCAGGTCTCTATCGCCTTTCGTTCTCCAGTTATTTAAAAAGTAACGATAATCACTATTGTTTGCCGACAATAGTGTTTTGCCGACAATAGTATAGTTTTCCTTTACTTGTCTGGATTAAACTCTGATTCGTCGGCTACAGACGTTGTCGGTGTTTTTCGATCGAATTTTGTTGGTGTTCTCGATTTTATTTTTGGATCAAACTAGAATAATAGAAAGTTCAAAAAAGGAAACAAACAAAGTTAAGTACTCTACCGCTTTTTGTTGCTGTAGCTGTTGCTGATGCGAATTTCGTATATCTTTTGCTTGTTTTGTTTCGCGTTTGAGTGATTCAGATTCTGAATGTTTTTTTCCTTTTTCTAAAACATCATTTAGCGTCTAAAATGAAGACAATTTCACATTTTCTAGAAAAACTAGATTTATTAAATCTTTTCTGAAATAGTTTTTACTTTATCTTCTGTTTTTGGCAGTCGATTATCCATTCGATCAAATGAATCAAATATATCACGATATTTTTTTATTTTTCTTGTTTGTTCATTGTCTAATGGTAAATGTTTTCGCACAATTGTACCACCTTCCATCTTATAAAAACGAAGAATTAAAGTTTTATACACTATTGAATAGGTTCGGACATACCTTGTATAAATTTAATAATAATTTTGTTGCCAATTCTCTAACTTCACCAGCTGTGTGTTCAAGTGCTTGTGCACAAAATTTACTTACATTATCAACATTTAAACCATTGTCTTTTAACTGTAATATTTTCATTAATTCTTCTATAACTTCACATCGACTCAAAGCTAATCTGGGCGCTATTGTTTTATTAAATGGCATAACACAATGATGTGGAATGATGTGTAACGGTTTTATTTCTGGATAGGATGCTGTTTCGACAATAGCATCTTGTGCTCGTTGTCTTAAACGTCCATTTGTATCACCTGTTCGTTGATTTAATACAGGTAAAACTCGTTCTATTGCTGAAATAATATCTTGACGTTGTATCTGATGTTTACGAATATAATCATTCATTAATAAATGAAATAATTTTAATGAATTTGAAAATGTTGAAAATACATTATCACGACACATTCGAGCAACAACAAAACTTCCAGCACGTAAATAAGAATTTGCCTCTTGACTATCACCATTAAACGTACTAATAATCTGATAAATTTCATCGAGTGCCTCTTCACGTCGAGCATAATTACGATTGTATAGTTTTCCAATCTATACAAAAATTAAAAGATAAAAATACATAATATAATAAAAGTAATTGATAAACATACCAATTTTCTATCAAATACATCCATCATTTGATTTGCTTCACGCATTTCTGCGTTTGTCAATTCAGATGTTGCATCATCATTTGGTTGAGGCATATTACCAAATGTTGCACCTGTTTCTTCCATAGTATTACTATTATCCATTGGAGGTGGACCATCAACACGACTACGATTTCTTAATGTTGGTATTATTTTATCTTCATACGGCGTTGGCGGTTTTTGATAATCAGGTGAAATTGAACCGCCGCTACTATGACCAGCACCACTTCCATTATTTTCATGAAGACTTTTACGATGTGTATTTGAAACCGTTGGCAATGGTGTAACAGATACATCTTTTTCTCGTGCTTGTATTGTTCCATATGACACTGTTGAATCAGGAGAATGTCGATTTGTATGTACACGTCCTTAAAGATGAACAAATTGTATAAATTAAATTGTTTTAAAAAGTCACCTTTCAAAATATTTTATTAAAAAATAAATCATTTCAAATAATTACCATGATTATGTTGTTTCAATGGTCGAGGCGACTAAAAATAAAAAACAGATAGTTTTTTAATATAGTACAGTATAAACAAAATCAATTTTTAAATAGTTGTTTCTATTTAATTAACTGTTAGTGCATAAAAACTACTAATATTGAATGTGTTTCATGTGAGCATGCATTGTATTTTGTACAGGTGATAACTTATAATACAAAATTAACGACAGCGACACATTATATGCTTATCCGTACAACTTTGTTACCAATAAACTGAACAGTTTAAAATATTACGGTCAGACAGCATAATTTTTTCAATATTTACAAGTACTACTGTTCGTTAATTAAACAATAAAGAAAAACTAGTAGATGCACATCGTATTTGTAGACTTTATATGTACAAAAAACAACGGCATATTTGAATCATAAAGAGAAAATTTGTTTTTTATTTTACGTCAGACGTATACACACACACACACATATACACACAATATATATGAACAATCAAAACTGAATGCTCTGAGTTTACCTCCTTCTCCATATCGAAATCATTGTTAACTATCTCAGAATTTTGTAAACGTTTTAGAAACTCAGCTCCTTCGCCGCCTTCCTATGATAGTAATGCATAAAATCGCAAAAAATAATTTGGAAAAAAAGAGTAGTTGTCAATTGTCTATATTTTGTGTAAGAGAGAAGATTCAAACAACTTATGATAAAATAACAAATTTTCAACGTACCATAACAACGTCTAATAAATTGAGTACTTGTAATTGTTTATATGTTTCGCCTCGATAAAGTTCCATTTTATCTTTTTTTTGTTGTGCCGTTTCATAATCTTCATTTTCAATTGCTTGTCGTTTTTCGACTTCATAACGAGCTAGTCGTTCACCAACTTTAATCAATTCTTGAATAGCTTGCTTATATTTTCTTGCTTTTTCAAATTTCTCATCTAGATCATAAGAAAAACAAAATTAGTAAAAAAATATAGAACATTTTTATTTAATTAATATTAAACTTGTTACCATTCACAGCTTCTTGTTTCTTTTTATCAAGATTTTTAATTATGACTGCAATTTCTGGATCTTGATACATTGCAAATGCCAGATCATCAATAATCGATATTTGATCTGATCTGTAAAAAAAAAATTTAAAAACAACAATATTATTTTTACCAGTAATAATTATTCAATTAGTACCTGCTGGATGTTCCCAATGTTCCTTGTTCATTGTACTGGTTTTCATTGTTTTGATTTATGTCAAACTAAAATACAAATGTAACAAATATTAAATTGGTGATCACAGTAATTACACCTTTCTTACTTTATCGGGATCATCACCAATAAGATTAATTGCTACAATGCTGACCTTCAATTCAAATCAATACATATATTAGAATCATTTGTATGTGAATACAAAAGTTGTTTACCTGATTATATAAATTGAGACGATTTACGTAATTTTTGTGTATCAATAATTTTAAAAACAATCCTTCTGCATCAACATGTATAGATTTTAATTCTCTTGCTTTAAAGTTGGATCGCTCATTACTCGATAATTCAATGTATCTAGAGGATTAATAAAACAGAACTAGCATGACCGAAAAAATAAAAATAAAACTCGTACCCAAGACGAGAATATTTAACATTTTCCAAACTAATGTCTTCATCATTCAAACAATCACCGATAAAAAATTCAATTCGAGAGGCTGTGAAAGAAACAACAATATGACAATTAACTTAATATAAATACACATAAATAATTATTCATACCAATGAGATGTTGATGTGACAATAACTGCACTCTTCGTATATGGATATGTTTATCAAATTGAAGAATGAGTTCTTGGGTATATGTACAAAATCTATACAATAACAAATTCAAAATTTATGCTCAAATTATTCAAAACATTATTTTTCTAAAGGTACCTTTGTGATTGCCAACCTTGAACGAGAGGACCATGATGGTTTAACTCCGTTGCTGGAAACTGATCGTCACTACTCGACGAATAAACAACTTGAAAATGAATTTTTCGCGGCATCCACCTAAGACTATACCGATCTTTTTTCTCTAAAATATCAGAAATATATTCTTTTACCCACTTACCCGCGAACTTTATTTTCTAAGATCGTCGTCTTGCTCTATGGATAGACTAGGAGATAAAATTGCTCATACAAACTATTGGAAGGGTAAACTCGAATTCCTATAACATTATTTGTCAAACACTATTCTGTACGTGGATAGAAAGCAAGAACGTTAATAGGTTTTTCTTGATTGACACTGCTTCTGCAAGTGAGGGTAATCTTGTGTGTAAACAAGAATCTAAAGAAGAGAAACAATTATTTTTACAAAGATTCGCTCCAGAACAGTAACTATATAAACAGTTTGCATTGTAAAGACTGAATGTCAAGATTTTAGCGCACAGATACAAAAAATGCTGTTGTCAGAACACACATTCTCTCTCTCTCTCTCTTAGCGAACTCGTTATACTATAACAAAGAGATCATGCTTGTGCAAATTTCTTATTGTTTCCGGCTTTCTATTTTTCTGTACACCGAGATATATATCGTTTGAACAAAATTTTCTGAATGAATACATAATTTATCAAATAGGAGTCTCCGCAGAGAAGAATATAAAATTTTAGAAAAAAATAAAAATAATAACAATTACACCAGCATGGGCTGCACTATATCTCGTAAAAGAGAAGAGCACACTCGTTATATTTAATAAATTGTTTTCATGACTCTTTCAATGTAACTGATGAAAAACGTGTTATCAGTATTCTCAGTTAAAAGACTTAAGCTGCATGTCTTAAATATTAGCCGATAACAGTTCACATTCTTTCTTTTGTAGACTCAAACAAAAAACGCCCATTTTCTTAATCATCGATACTCTGAACAAATAGGCCGCATTTTAGTTGAAGTGAACAACGATGCCGTTCTGGGAAGACGCCCTATTTGGTCAATCGTATATTCAGTCAAAACATTTTGTTTAAATAATATATATATATATATCGGTGTACAGAAAAGCAGAGAACCGGAAAAAAATATCATATTTATCGTATAAGAACATCCTGATATCTTGGTCTAACGACAAGGGGCAGAAAACGTCTGTATTCTCAAATCGCTGATACATCTGAATCGAAAAGAGAAGACATTTCAGTTAAAGTAAAATATCAATGCCTCCCACAAATACGATAGTAAAATCGGCTGATGAACAGGAATCAATAGTATCGTTTGACAAAGAAGATAGTAAAAATGCTTTCATTCCGGCTATCAAACATCCACTTGAACCTCTTACGATCAAAGAAATTCAACTTGCAGTGAGCTTATTACGAAAACATGAAAATGTTACACCAAGAACACGATTTGTATCAATTCAACTGAAAGAACCATTAAAACAATTTGTGCATGATTTCACTGGTGATCAGCCAATTCATCGTGCAGCTAGTGCCGTTTTATTTGATAATCAACTCAATTCATGTTACGAAGCAATATTATCATTAACCGATCGACAAATTTTATCGTTTAAACATGTACCCGGTGTGCAGCCGACAATGACCATCGATGAACAAGTTGAATGTGAACAAGCTGTTCTTCAGTCACAAGAATTTCACGATATGGTGAAAAAGAATTATGGTATTGAAGATATGTCATTGATTATGTGCGACATTTGGTCGGCAGGCTATTATGGTGAGGAAGAAGAACGCAGCAATCGTTTAGCTCGTCCACTGTGCTTTGTTCGATCAGATCCAACAGATAATGGTTACACACGTCCGATTGAAGGTTTGAGACCGGTTGTAGATTTGAATAAAATGAAAGTGATTCGTATCGAAGAATATAATCATTATCCCATTCCCTGTGTAACGTGTAATTATGCCGCCGATCGTACACACAACGCTAGAAATGATATTCGTCCATTAGAGATTGTTCAACTACAAGGTCCAAGTTTTCACGTTGATGGTAATCAAGTCTATTGGCAAAAATGGAAATTTGTTATTGGATTTAGCATGCGTGAATCATTAACATTACATCATATTTGTTATGAAAATCGTTCAATTCTTTATCGTGCATCACTAACTGAAATGGTCGTACCCTATGGTGATCCAGCACCTCAACAAGCCCGCAAAAATGCATTCGATTGTGGGGAATATGGTCTCGGTTGTTGTACCAATAGTCTTGAACTTGGTTGTGATTGTCTAGGATTAATTAAATATTTTGATGCTAATCTTTGTACGAGTCGTGGTGAACCCTTCATAATTAAAAATGCAGTTTGTATGCATGAAGAAGATGCCGGTATTCTTTGGAAACATACTGATCGACGACTGTGCACTCCCGAAATTCGCCGATCTCGTCGTCTCGTCATTTCATCAATAGCCACGGTTGAAAATTATGAGTATGGTTTTTACTGGTATTTGTATCAAGATGGTAACATTCAGTTTGAAGTTAAAATGACGGGTGTTCTATCGTTGGGCGCGATTCCACCCGGAGAAAAGTCACCTTATGGGGCACTCGTTGCACCAGCACTCGTCGGTCCCTATCATCAACATTTCTTCAATGTACGCCTCGACCTGGATATTGATGGTATCAACAATACAGCTTATCAACTCGATGTTGTGGCGGATCAAATAGGTCCGAAAAATCCGTATCATAATGCATTCCAAGTAAAAAGCACACGTCTAGACACCGAAAAACAAGCGCGTGCCAATTTAAATTTGGAGACATCGAGAACATGGAAAATCGTGAATGAAAATGTTTTAAATAATTTAGGCGAACCAGTTGGTTACAGATTTATGCCTGGTGACAATTGTATCCCATTTGCTCCCCGCACTGCTTGGTGGCGCAAACGTGCAAGATTTGTCGATCATCACGTATGGATAACACCGAATTGTGACGATGAACGATTCAGTGGCGGAATGCATCCAAATCAAAGTCAAGGGGACCGTGATACTCTTTGGCATTGGACAGAAAAAGATCGTGCAATAACAAATAGTGATATCGTTCTTTGGTACACATTCGGTCATACACATATTCCACGTCCAGAAGATTTTCCTGTTATGCCAGTTACGTGTGTCGGTTTTATGTTAAAACCAAATGGTTTCTTTAAGATAAATCCGGCTATCGACCTGCCAAGATCAGAGAAAAAAGAAGAATGCGATAAGAAAAGCTGCTGTCAATAGATTATTGGTACATGACTGCAGACACCGTCGGAGTTGGCATGTTTGTTTGTTATATGTTTCGTGTTGAATAAGACTCAACGATTTTCCTATTTTTATATTATACAGCTATAGTTTAATTTTACTCCATAATCGTAGCACTTTCATAAGCAATGTTTTTTTTGAGCTTGCAGCTGATAGATCAAGATTGAAAATAGTGTAAGATGAATAAACACTCCTTATATTACTGGTCAAAATACAAGTACCTGGTGTAAATTGTAAACATAAGTACTGAGGCAAGTTCTGGAAAAATTGTCTCGAAAACAACAAAAATTCTCAAATTTCGCTTTTAATCCACATTCATCTTATTTAGTTTTTGACGTTCTTCGTTGTGGTATGCAAGCAGCAGTAAACAGAGAAGAGAGTCGGTATTTGTCAAAACTGAGTTTATCAAAGAATGTCAAGGTTCTAGCGCATACCAGAGGTGGGATCGGTTTGTGTTTTTTTGAAACAGGACTAAACGAAACGACTTCTCTCAAACCGAACTGGATCGAAGCGAGATGCCATGAAATCGAACCAAGGTGAACCGATATTTTTTTTAAAAATTAACTCAACGTGGAAAACAAAAAAAGGCTTTCTCTTTGTTAGTTAAGCACTTCTTCGTTTTCGTTTTTATTTTCATATCCATTTTTTGCCCCCTCTTTTCAATTTAGTTTACTTCAGCTTCACAAGTAAATAAACACTTATTTGTTATCATAAAAAAGAGTTGTTCTACAAGAACAAAAGAATTGAAATATTCTTATAAAAGGCTTATCACATTCTTGCAAGTTTCTTACGAGAAACTTGATCGACTTCCCTACAAAAAAAATTTCAGTGCAACATTGGAAAAAGATCGGTACTGTCAGTGCGCACGGCACCGACGCGCACTAGTACTGCATTTTTTCAGTCACCCTTTTCTTGTGTAGGATTTATTCCACTATGTTTTACTCGGACGTTTCTTCGAGAACATGGTGCAATCAAATTTTAATGCTTTCGTCGAGTAGACGATGCTTTGATCATGTCATAATCTCTATCTGAAAGGAAAAGTCAGTATGGATAGAGAGTCGAATCATGAATTCATAGGAAGTGCACTTGTTAGTACGTATGCGAAACATTGAGTATAGTAGCACTTTCAGAGAATGTCTATCTGTGGGTATCGACGTTTAATTAATTCGTTGCTAGAGCTAATCTAGCATTGTGTAAGTGAAGCGGTATAACTTGGCCCAATCCTCTGTGCATCAAACTGATCTTTGCTACATTCTAAAAGCCAGGGACGACAAAGCGATCTTACACCGAGGGCACAAACATATGTGAATACGTCAATCTTTGGGTGCATTTTCTCACGTCTGTGTATTTCTGTGTATTTTTTATTTGGAGAATTAACACAGCCACTTTGAAACATTTTTATGGAATAATTTGATTTAAAAGAGATCAAAAACCGATAAACTGCAAAAAAACGAAGAGAAATTATCTCTACACTATGTTAAGAAAAAATGAAGTGTGTGTACGTTATACACAAGGGTCATTCTTTCTTTTTCGAAAACATTGTTACACAGGTGATGTACGTATACACTCAATGACATATTACCAATGTTTTCGAAAAAGACAGAATGACCCTTGTGTGTGACATATACGCACGTAGTTGAAGTCAGTTGATCAAGAAATGTTTCTCAAAAGAAAACGTCCAAAAATCCGATAGTTCAACATTCTGATGAGTGAAAATGAGATGTGTTTACATAAGACAATAGAGAACCGAATTATCTGTGCACTTCCTCTGAATTCATGATCTGACTCTCTATCCACACTGACTATTCCTTTCAGATAGAGATTATGACATGATCAAAGCATCATCTACTCGACGAAAGCATTAAAATTTGATTGCACCATGTTCTCGAAGAAACGTCCGAGTAAAATATAGTGGAATAAATCCTACACAAGACAAGGGTGACTGAAAAAATGCAGTACTAGTGCGCGTCGGTGCCGTGCGCACTGACAGTACCGATCTTTTTCCAATGTTGCACTGAAATTTTTTTTGTAGGGAAGTCGATCAAGTTTCTCGTAAGAAACTTGCAAGAATGTGATAAGCCTTTTATAAGAATACGATACGAATAACGTACGAATTCTGCCGATTCTTACCAATTTTCAGTCAACCTAAACTCTTTTTATTTAGCACTTGTAGCTGGCAGAAGTGGGATCGTTTCGGTTTCCAACTAGTCGGATTCCACCCCTGACGCGTACGTTCAAAAGCAGGTCGCTGTCGTTAGAACTCCCTCTCTTTCCATCTTCAGATGAGCTGTACTGAAATATTTTCAATATTTGACAACAGAAACTTCCTTTATTTTCGTTTTATTACAGATCGATGAAACAAAGCTCGCTGTGGTTAATTTAACTAGCGATAGATGTTGTCTTTGAGAACGAAGAGGAAACATGAATGTTCTTCGTTCACTGGAGATCTGAAATTTTCTGAGAGCAAACTCGTTATACTATAACAAAGACATCATACTACACTAACATAAGAGATATCACTTCTTTTAACATATTGCCACTCGTTGTATTGGTAGACGTTTTTTCCCAGACTCTACAGGATGTAGAGGTTTCGAAAAAAGTTCCTAACAGTTAAACATTGGAAATCCTGCCGTCTGAGTAGTTTTGCAGAGAACAACGACAGATGCAAATAATTACAAGTTCCAAAGATCAAAAAATAACTCGTCTACAAATAGAAAAATCATTTTCACCCATGATTCTCACATTATTATGCACATTCTGAATAACAAGCTGTAATTCTAAATTTATACACATACAAATTGTCATTAGCACTGCTCCTAAAGGATAAACGATGTATCTCGACCATGAACAGCCGGCGGGTAACAGCAAAAGCAACAATCTTTCTCCTAAGCAGTATGCGCTGAAAATTTAGCACTTTTTTAAATAAAGACTTACCCGGTGTCAGATTTATCATTAGTGTATTCGTAACTAACACTTACCCCGTTTTTTAGATATTCCATACAATATTCATCGTCTAATCTAACACATTTATGCGTAAATTGACAGAAATCACTGGAGATTCTCATGCTCTTGATTTCATTTGCTGAAACATCGCCAGATTGTCATTTTAGTGAGAAAATATAACTACAAATCATAATTGTGGTTATTGCACGTTGAACAGAAACAACAAAGAAAAAGCTTTTTCTTCTCGTGTCTCTTTGTTTTCGATTGTCCATATACGTTGCGATGGCTTTGGGGTTCTCGGATTGAAAGTCAAACGCAACTGACGTATTGTCATTTTGCCCACTGTGCAATCGCCGATTATACTCTTTATTTTAATCTATATTTATATATCTTTTATTTATGTACAGATCCAGCACTAAACGATATGCTTTAAGCCTGTTTAAGCCTGTTTTAGAAAGAACCAATGCATTGTTAATATCCAATAGAGTTTCAGCTGCGAGGGAAGGCGTTTTCTTTTAGTACCCTCTTCGCACGATTCAGAAATGACGACTTTTGTGAAATGTATCAATTTTGAGAAAAGTGTATCCAAGCCGAAACGATCAAAGAAGTAGTTTTTCGAAGAAAAAAAGTGTTTTGTGTTTTTCTCCAAACTATTCTCTCGCAGTGAAAGTCACCGTACTGCAGATTTTGTCGTAACGAAAGTCAGAAAGGACTCATTCTTTCAAAAAAGCTAAAACACATGGAAACCACGTTAAAGAGCCGAATTTTTGATTTAAGCCGTCATTCTTTAGACCGTTGAAAGTTTTCATCGCTTTTCTTGAACTTTTGAGGTAACATCTTTTAGAAAATAAAACAAAGAAAAATTTCAAAAACAAAATTCTGCTCTTTTACCGTCATTACTATAACCTAATTTGATATTTTAAAACTAACGCGAACTCTAGCTGCTCTCTTAGAGGAGAAATCTGACGGTTGGTAGATGTCCCATTTTGACTGTTATTCGGACGATATCTATTAAAAAAAGTAGGCAGAGCCTTCGAAAGTTTATTGTGAATATTCTTCGGCATGATCCACGAGAGTTTTGGTCAAAACGGAACTCATCGTTAGTGAGATAGATTTTGCGGCCCGGAAGAGGGAATTAATACCGCGTTTCCTTTTACACAGTTCTTTTACAGTTTTACTTTTTTCAGATTGAATTTGACGTTGGTACGTGATGGCTGAGCCATTGACGTACGATTTTGATGGCTTTATAGCCCGACTTCATGATTGTTTATTAACAAATAATGGAAATGAAACTGAAGCGTCAGAAATCGTTCTTGATATAGCAGCCGCATTCTCTGAACATCCATCTGAAATGCAAATCGGTATGTTTTTGCTTATCTGTTCTATCTGTTTTCTCAGTTTTATGTTTGTTTTTCCTATTTTAGCCATGTGTTTATCGGCTTTCTTTGCTAATAGTAATCAAAATATAATGACATTTCTCAGACGAGCCTCGTCCAAAGAAGAAGTAAGATACTTCTCTTATTCAAAATTTTATCGAAGTTGTCTCTTTTTGTGTTACAGTTTAGAAAATGTAAAGTGGAAATATTGCAATTTTTGAAATTTTTTATTGGACAAGTTGGTGATAAAATTTTGCCATATGCCGTTGAACTTAAGGTTAGCAGTCAATTTTTAGGCATTAATATATAAATGGTAATTCTGCTCTGTATTTATTTTAGGCCATTTTATTAAGTTTATACAATCATGACAAATATTCTGACGTGAAGTGTGCTATATTTCCAATTTTATCCCAGGTACTTGACTTTTCCTGTCAAAATGAGTAAATGAGTTTAGCCTAATTTTTTGTTCCAGTTAATGGAACTCAGTGTTGGCACGACAATTATGGACAAAGCTGAAGTTGATAAAATAGTTAGCACATTTTTTAATGCATTACTTGCAGCTTCGAAAACAACAGCAACGTGTACGTATATTATCGGTGTATTTTATCCCAGATAAAACTTATGTTTCATCTCTATGATTTAAGTAAAAGGATTAATTATGGCATTTCTTGGCTTATTATGTAAAAATTATCCCGAATACATGGATATATATTCAGAGAAAATATTAAAACTTTATTTGACCACGTTGAAAGCTGAAGTAAGTATGATGCTCATCACATTTGTTTTTCACTGTATTAAGTGCAATGTTATCTTTTTTAGATGGAAGGTACATCAAAGAAAAGTGAATTATTAGTTATTGCTGGTGTATTAGAAGGTTTAATTTATTACATTATTAATTTTTCTCCAAAGCCAAAAAGTGAAGGTTAGTTAGCAACGAAAAAATTAAACTAAAATGTGCAATATGGTACACTTATATTTTTTAACTTAGGCGGTGGTAACGAATTGGAAAGTATTTATAGATATGCTAAAAAAGCTATTAGTCCTGAAACGGATTTAAGTCGTTATGCTGTACCAAAAGGTGAATTTTTCTTTTGTTTTTTCTGTCTAGTTCAATAATAGATAAAAGTTGATACTTTGTTTTTTTTCTTCTGTAGCTGGGCTTGAAATATTTGCTCAACATTCCACTCATTTTACTGAATTATTGTATGATGAGTATGAAAGTATTCTTAAAAGTTTAATATTTTGGAATCAACACGTCAATTATGATATTAAAAAAGTTTCACAACGTGCTTATGACACATTTTTAAAAGGAGTAAGAAATTAACAGGAAAAACGGCAACAACTGTCAATCTTCATATGACTCATTTTTATTTTGCTTTTAGATAGCTGATGCATTAAAAGCCCGAGCAGGAATACAAGATAATGGTGTTCGACAGCGTGCAATAAAAACTTTTAAATATTTCGTACAAGAATTTCGTGCAAAAATCGAATCACCAGCAATGGAAATTCGGTCCGTTTTGACTTTATCTTCCTTGTTTTTCATTTTTTATGATATTCTACCTAATTTAGTGATCTGGCAATGGCGATTCGTGGTTACGGAACATTTGCAAGTGTAAGTAAACTTGAAGACTGACATATAATTCAGAAATAATTTTTTATTGTATTTAGGCGTGCAAATTATTTGGCACCGCTGATGATGTACGATTTATGTTCGTTGATTTGATACAACGTTGCGAACAAATAGGTATTTCTTCATTTTACACTATGCAATGTGTTCTTTTTACATTTAAGCGTTTTTTTATTGTTTCTTTTTAGCGGTACCAACCATATCGTTAACGGAAGCGGCTGACGTTTATGATGAACGTTTTTATCAATTGCCTAATTTACTTGATGCATTATCAGCAATTATTATTGAAATGAATGATGTTCGTTAATCAAATATACTTGAGATTAGTTTTAAATATGTCTATATTATTTTCTTTTAGGTTGGTGAAGAATTTCTTGGACCATTGGAACGTTTAACTGTAATGACAATTGATTATTATCCACGTTATCAGCCAAAATCAAAAGCGACAACGTGTACATCTGTCATCAAAATGATACTTGCCATTCAAACAAAACCAAGTTGTTTTAAACCATTTTTATCACGAATAGGTATGAATAAAACTTGTTAGCTTATTTTTGATCATTAATCTTTTAAAATCATTTTTTCAGTTAATCAATCATTGATTCGTTGTTGTTCACATCCATTAAAATCATCAGTTGATCAGATGATGGAAGAAATTGATCCCGATGAAGAAAAATCTAAAACAACATTGGCCATTGGAAAAACGATAATTTATGAAAATTATATTTCACTATGGAAAACGGTTTTTGATGTTACAACAACAAAGGTAAAGTCAACTTATCGTCAAAAAGTCTATCGTGATTATTGTTTGGAATTTTTAGGAGCCGGAAATTGTTGTCTATTCGATATTCGACAGGCAAAATATGCATGTATCATTATATGATGAATTAATTGATACCATCTTACACATTATTGATCGATTCGATTTGCGTGTTGAGAAAGAAAAAGAATTAGACAAAGAGGTATTGAATATGACAATGAAATACTGCTCATTTAATATTAATTAGTCAGTTAAATAGATTGTAATTCCTCTACAATTTTCTTATGATCTGTTCTACACTTTTTCTCTATCTTCCCTATTGAGAAGCAGATCGCTGACTTGAAAGAAGGAAAGAGTGTAGTATATGTTAACGACTTGTCGTATTTTTTTTAGCGCTACGCTTTCTTTATTATTAATTAACTATGTGATTAACCCTTTAAGTCCCCAAGGCTTTAGTGCTTGGTTCTGGGTCAACCACTTATGAAAATGCAACATACTCGATATGACTTTCTCACGCTCGAAAAGGATTACTTTTCATTTCTAAAAAAGTTTTTATAATTTAAATCAAAAATCAAAATTTGAAAAAAGTTATTTTTTCCAAAATTCTAGTTAGAAACTAAAGTCCAAACGTATCTAAGTTTAGACCATCAAGTTTGAGGAAGTTGAAACAGAAAATGAGCTCAGACGATGAAGAAAATCAAGAATGACTAAGAAAACGAGTCCAAAATCCTACCTAAATATGATCTTTCGTTTTGTACCATCAGCACCCTAACAGTTTGAACAATAATTTCTTCAGCTGACATAATTTGAAATAGCACACCTCCCCACATATTTTTGAAAAGTTGTTCAATAAAAAGTTTTTCCTAAAGTATCTAAAAAAGAAAACTTAAATTAAAAACTTTAATTTTTTTGAAATATTCTTCATTTTAAAATATAAATATTTCGGCTAGCACAGAACATAAACAAAATATTTTTTTACTATTCGATAGCCCATTTAATTCTCTACAAATCTGTATAAGATTGGATTTTTTAAAGAATGCTTCCTGACTTTGCTATTATGATAATACCAATGTCCATTTGAATGGACATTGAACATAAAAGGGTTAAAAGAGAGTATCCTTTCCCTGTTTTTCAGAATGATGATGATTCAAGTGCTACAACCGATCCTGTATTTGGCTTAAAACCGTTGAATCAAAAAGATTTTGTCATGTTTTATAATCTTGTTGACTTTTGCCAGTAAATATCATATACTTTTTGTTATTTTACACGTTGAATACATTTAATTTTTATTTCTAGGGATTTGTTGTCTGAGCAATCGATTGAATTATTTGAAAAATGGGTTCATCGTTTTCTCTACGATATTATATCAGCATCGACAAAGTAAGAAAATTCGTTCTATTTGACTAAATAGCATCATTTTTTCCATTTTTCTAGATATCCATTAGTTAGTGGCTTTTATCGTTTTGCCAGTTTAGTGATGAATATTTGTTTAAAATTACGTTACTTTAATGTATGATTGCTTTCTTCTTGTGCATTGTTATTTTCTTCAGTTTTATTGTTCTTTCAGTCTAATTCAAATGGTGATACAACAATTGAGTCAATGGAAACAGATACGAATGAAACTAGTAATAATAATATTATTGGTGTTACAATACTCATTCAAAAATTTGCGCATGAAGTATGTGTTTTTTTTTTATCTTGGTTTCAATTGAATAATTGAATAAGTTCATTTGTAGGTTCTTTCACGTTTGAAACAATATCGTGATGATCTGTTAACATCTTGTTTACAATTCATCTTATCTCTACCATCAGAATGTATTGATTATGATTTTACCGATTATGTACCAGCTGTACAGGTCTGTTTAAAATTTTTAAAAAATTTTCTGTAATTAACTATTCCTTTTTTTACTCTTTTCGTTAGATGGCATTGGATATGGGTCTCAGTTATTTACCACTGGCCGAACAAGTTATTGACAGTCTCGAACGATGGTCCAAGTCCTCATCGTTTACACTAACACCATATTATGAACAATTACTGCCTTATTTTGATGATTTTTTACGTTTATCGCATGATCAAGGTATACACTTTTTTTTCAAGTTATAGCTTAAAAAAACATTAAACAGGCATTCTTTTCCAACGTTAGGTTTTGAGATAGTTTTACAGATAGTAAGAATTTAAAGAGCTATGTTTCCGCAGAATTTTCATTATCTTTTTTATTTATATATATTAGACTAATGTTTTCTATATTTCTAGGCGAAGATGTTAATGTTCGTGCTATTGTTTCGACGCTACAGGAACAAAATCGTACTAGTACAAGAACAAAAACGATATTGCCGACGCGAATGTTGAAAAAAACAAAACAAATAAAACATGTATGATCTCTTGTTTTTTTTTCCAAACCTAATACCACTATTGATTTTAATCGTCTCATTTTCCAGCTTTTCGATGATAGTGAACTTCGTCGAGTACAATTTCGAATAATGAAATATTTGGGTTCACTCGGTGGTAGAATAAATTATCACTTAATTGGTGATACATCGACTTATCTTGTTAAAGAAGCAGTCGCATGGGATAATGAAAATCATTTATTGTTTGATGTACCGTTAGAGGACATGAAACCAATAATTCATCTCGGTACGTTAAAGATTGATAATTGAATATTCTATTCAGAATATTAGCTATACACAAGCACACGACGTTCCTATCCAAAGTCCAAAGTTTTACTACCATTTTGTCTAACAGCTACTCTTCTTCTTTTATTTCTGACCCATCATTTCCGAAGTACAGTAGAATGAATTAATCTGTGTCATAATACGTCAATTGCTCAATGCTTTCTGTTTACAATTGTAGATTTATTTCTTCCTCGTATTGTTGATTTGGCTTTACACTCATCAGAAAGACAAACAAAAGTGACTGCTTGTGAATTACTACAATCAATTATGTTGTACATGATTGGAAAAAGTGTTCCACATGGCGAAACACGTGTGGTTAGTAATCGATAGCTTTTACTAATTATTTAAAATATTATTTGATCTTCTTTTTAAGGTCACCTATGAAAAGTTATATAAGAAATTGTTTCCAGCTGTACTTCAATTATCATGTGATTCTGATACGGTAGGTACACATTAGCAATACAAAAAATAGTTCTGGCTTGACTTTGTCTCTTCTTTTTTAGTTTACAAAAACTTTATTTGCCACGTTCATGCTCCAGATTATACGTTGGTTTACCAAGAATAAACGTTATGAAAACCGTGAAACTATGTCGTTACTAAATACATTCATGGTAAGAAATAATTCTACTAGTAAAATTAGAAAGAGAGATTTAATTTACTTTATTTTTCAACAGGATGGTATTATGTCGAGTAAAAATGCGTCGACTCGAGATTTTAGCGCTGTCTGTTTAAAAGAATTTTTAAAATGGTCAATTCAACATTCCATTGGTGAAGATAAACATGCCTATTTAAAAAATTCAACATCCGTATTAAAACGTATTGTTAGTTATTCAATGCATCCAAATAGTTTTAAACGTCTTGGTTCAACACTTGCTTGGAATTCAATTTATACATTATTCAGGTTGTTTACAAGAGAAATGTCTTCTTTTTTTTCTCATTTTTCATTAAAAATTTGTTTTTTGTCTTTTCTAGAGAACAAGCAGATCTAGTTGATATATATACTCTTCAATTATTGTATGTGTTTGTTGAAAGTTTAGCAATAGCTCAAGGAGATGAGTCGTCCGTGGGTAAGAATAACAATCATATGAAAAAGATCCGCTTTTATAACCACAAAATATTAATCATGATATAGGTACACAACAACAAGCAAAATCTGCTCTTGATCATGTTCAACGTATCCTGAAACAAACGTCAAAATTATTTGTTAATGAAACAAGCAGACGTTATCGTCCACCGTAGGCTACTATATATAACAATAACATGGCTACTATTTTCATAAGATTTATTGCTATTATTTTCTTTGTTTTTTAGTGGATGGACTCAAGCCACACTTGATGTCGCTATTCGTTGGTTATTAAGACAATGTGGGCGAGTTGAAACGGAATGTAGACGAAAATGTATTGAGCTAGTTTGTACGTTTATACCACTATTACCAGGTAATTTGATAAATTTAATGGATAGTCTTGCTTTTAACATCATCCACTTTCATCATGACAGGTATTAGAACAATACGAGAATATTTCGAAAATAAAGTAAAAAATGAAGGTATTGTCTATCTTATTGAAAGGTAACTGGAATGCGCGTGTGTAGTTACCATACTAGTTTTACTGATATTTGACTCTCTATTCTTAGATTTGAGGGCTCACAATCAAAAAAAGATAAATTTAAAGCTGGTCTAGCTAATAATGTTATTATGACCGATATTAATGAACGATTTTCTCTCGGTACTGTATATCAATGGTTGGATACATTAATCGCTGCTCTCGATTGTTATTACTGGGTATTTTCACAAGGTTACCTTAATCCAATGTTATTTCAAGGTAAAATCAACTTAAGTTTTAATGCACAAAATGTTTCATATACAACAATATTTTTTTTCTTTCTTTTTAGATCAAAGTAAAAAGAGTCGTTTAATCGATTCGTTAAATTATTTTATTAATAAAGTGGCTATGAATACAATACATACGATTGCAACATATTTTACAATTCAAGATGAACATGGAAAAGTTTTTACACCAGCTGACGTTAGAAAATTTGACGAGTAAACTTCTTTTCTTTTTTTTCCTTCTAATATTCAATGAAGTAACCAACAAACAAAAGAGAAAACGTTTGTCATTTTACATGATAAGTCTTTTTAAGCAATTTTTATCCTAATTTATTTAGTGCAAAATGTGTAGTTATTGTACGTTTATTAAATTTTATTACTGCACTATGGTCAAAATATCCAAAAGATACACCAAAAGCATTTGATCCATCATTTTGGTCTCGTGATTTAATGACATTAATTTTAACGTGTGCTTTGGATCCCGCTCAATTGGGTTTTGATGTGAATAATGAAGAAGTTGATAAAAAATTACCTAAAGTCGTATGTATTACTATACCAAATAGTTTAGAGCTTATCTTTGCATTTCTTTGATATATTTAGATCGAATCTCTTCTGAAGGCTATGACAACATATTTATCTGAAAATATATTAAAACCATTGCACGATGTTACAATTGAAATGACAATGGATGGCAAGTAAGTAGTAATAGCAAAACAAAAGACATTTAAACGGTCTCAAATGACAGTGGTGTTTTATTTCTTAGAAAATTTAATTTGGTTCATGAACTTGATAGTGGTGGAAATATGCCAGTTCGTTGGGGATTAATTCATACAATTGTTCGTGGATATAAATTATTACATGATGCACGCCTATTATCTAAACCCAAAAATCTTGAACAATATACGAAACAATTATGGGCAACAATGTTAAGAGTAAGTGCCAATAAATTGAATATAATTGTCTGTTTAAGAAAATGTATTTTATATTTTATAGAAAATGATTAATCACGAACAAAAGCCGTATTTGACAAAATTGACATTAGATCTTGAAAATCAAAAAGGCTTACAATCATTATTCGAATATATTATTTATTTGGGTATTGAGGTGAGCATATCAATGGCTTTGTTGATGCCGATAAGCGTCAGCTATAATTAGATAATATATTTCTTCTTAAATTTATACAGGAGGCGTGTAGTTGACTTGCTGTTTCTAATTTTTAACAAGTTTGTTTTATATAATCTGATGCACCCGCTTCATAGTTCAGGTCTATATAGTCATCAGAAGTGATAGTTATTTTGCTCATTTTGTTTTGCTAATGAGCTCATCATACAAACTTCCACTTACCATATTCGTCCAAAAGTCGAGAACATATTTTTATTAATTTATCAAATCTCTTTTCGTTGGACTAGTTTTGGGTTTATACAGAATTTGTTTCTCTTAAGTAAAAGTCGGTTCTCTATAAGCCCTTCTGAGAATCAAAGTTTGTCTTTTACAAACAGAAAGGCTCTTGTTATCATAACATAGGCGGTATATGTTGGAACATATGCTCCATCGGGCCTTGCACATATGCATTAGAGCCTTGTTGGTCGATTACTTACATGTGTGGGTACGAAAGATAGGTATTAATCTTCAAATTTTTGCTGGTAAGCGAACAAGGAACTGAAAACATGTGGTATTCTCGATATAATAGCGCATAAGTATGTTGTTTAAAATTGAATTTGATGTAAGGCGTCGGGGATGCAACATTGAGAAAAACCTTTGTGTTTCGAAAAGGTTGAATATTTTTTCTCCTTTGTAAAACTAATAAGTGATACATCACTCGATGCAGTTTTTCACGCTGATTCCGAATATCTATAATTTGTCTTGATAAAATTATTTTTGATATAAGAAAATTCAACTTTACATTAAAAACCAGGGTTTTTTGGAAAACCTATATTTCCGTCTAGTCAAAAAAGCCGCATGCACTATAGATGCAAGACACCGAGATAAAGTACATTTAAACGTTATCAGAGTTTAGGAAAATTTAGGAAGTTGATTGCACTAGTAACGTAGCGAGGAAAAGAGATTTTCACGGGAAAAAACTACGGGTTTTTTATCCACACTTTTTAAGATAAATTTACCAGCATCAGATAGCTGACATTTTTCTGCTCCAGAGAATATCAGAACGAAGTGTTTTGATATTTCGCTTTGTCCGAAATATGCAATCAACATTTTCAAAAACGTGCTAATTAGCACGTGGATTTTCTTTACCAATTTTCTGGATAAGGAAAACTCGTAGGAAAAAAATTTTTTCATCGTTAGCCAAAATATATATGACGGTATTCAAATCTCAAAAAAGCGTACTTACTATTTTGAGCCAAACTACCGTCTATATGTCCACTGTGTCCCTCCCCCCTCTGAAAAACTCATCTGACCGAGCTTACTACAGATACTGACCATAATTCCGAATTTTTTTGGAAATTTTTAATAATCTTTCCTGCTTGACTTGTATAGTTTTTGATAATGATAAATTTGGTTATGATCTCAAGTATCTGTGATAGCCCAGCGAATGAGTTTTTCTCTCACGACAGGTTTTCGAAAAAATCACGGTTTTTCAAGTAAAATCTACCATTCCCAGTTTCGAAGAAAAGAATAAAACCATACTCGGAATCAGCGCGTCGAGTGGCATCGAATTATGTATAAAACAATAAATTTTGGATCTAAAATATTTTTCTCTTCATTCTCTTTTTCTATATATCATAATAAAATATCTTTAATATTTTAGCCATCTGAAATATTGCCACATTTTTTTGAACCAGCATTAATTCAAACTGATTCTGGTTTGAGTACAGTTGGCACCTATTTATTATCATTATTTAAACATCAAATAACAAGTTGGTTAGCAGCTAAATCCAATTTTATTATTGAAAATATTCATTTATTTCATTCAAAAAAGAATTCATCAACAACAACATTTGATCCACGTCCAGTTGTAAGTTTTTTAATAACAACACTCGATTTATTTAGTTCTGATATGAAAATACGTCAAACATATGGTTCTCAATTTATTGATGGTATTTATAATTGTTGGCCAAAATTTAGTTCATTATGGGAACCAGCGGATAAAGCATTGATCGATGATAAATTATTAATTGTAACATTATTAACAAAAACATTTATTATTAATTCAAAATGTTTATTAACTCATCAACAATTTGACACAATATCAGATATGTATTTGACATTGATAACTGATAAAACATTAAATTTATCATATAAAAATCGTCTACTCGATTTATTAGTATTTTTTGCCTCAATAAATTTTTCTGCCGATGAACAAACATCAGAAACAATTGAAAAACAAAAAGAATGGAATAAAAAATTATTTCGTCAATTATTAACATTTACGGCAAATAATTTTCCAATGTATTGTAAAGAATTTAAAGAAGGAACACAAGACTATTATGAATTTCATATGTCAATAAAAAAGGTATAGTATTCAGAAAATAATGAACAACATCTATCTTAAAAGTTTTGATTAAAATACTGAAAATTTTTCTATGATTTTTAGATTACTGCTGGTCTTGAATTATCATCATCATTTCTTATATTTGAATTATTAGTATCAATGTTATGTCGTGAAAAACAACATTCATTCGAAGATGAAATATTAAAATCTATAAGTCATTTTGTATTAAATACAAAAGATGATTCAAAACAAATTGAAATATTTCAATATATTTATGATGTTATATATAATGAGAAAAAAAATGTGCCAAGTGAACATCGTCTTCATGCATTAGATAAATTAGTATTAAAAATTCTTACATCAATGCGTAAACAATGTGTTATTGAAGTTTATAAAAGGCATATTCTTGTTATAACGAGTATAATTGAGGCAGAATTTCGTCTTGAAACATCTACTACAGCTATTGAATCATCATTAATTAATCGAATATGTTCATTTCGTTTAATGGAACATATGTATACAATATTGACTAAAGATGATGTACAAGGTTCAACATCGCCAATTGTTTCCATTTATGAAAAAATTAGACCAAATATGGAAAAGAAAGATGGAAAAGAATTAACAAAAAATATGATACGTCGTTCAAGAATTCATTTTACAGATGGAGAAAAAATAATGAAAATTGTTCAAACACATTTAACGACAATGAGTAATAGTAGTGAGAAAACAAAATCCATAATATCAATGATTCGTACATTGTATACATCATCATTCAATTGTCTTATATCATTATTCATATGTACACAAACAGAATTGAAACTTTATACAGCATTTATATTTCAAGGTAGGTTTCGAAGAGAATATCCGATGATTTATTCTCGAGTATGTCTTTATTCGACAAAAGTTTATTGAATAACGGTGAAAGTGTAAGCTCCTTCATTTCAGTAGAATATCTGATATTTTTTGAGAAGAATTTTATTAAAGGAAGTAAAATGAACAAGATTTATTTATCTTTTTTTTTATTTAGAAAATCCAAATAAAAATGAATATTTTTATGAAAATATTATCGATGCTGATGAAACATATGATTTTCCTGTAGAATTGCCAGAATACTACAAAAAAGATAAACGAACGGTATTAAGTGTATTACGCAAAAAAATCTTATTATCATCCAATTCACAGCAAGGAAATTTACAAATACAAAATCAACCACCACCACGTTATTTATCATCAGAATATTTATGTGGTAGTAGTTTAGCTAGCGAATTAGCCATATTTGATTACATATCATCAGCTGTTGTTAGTCAACAACAACAACAACAACAACAAACGAATTTAAATAAATCGATATCACTATCACAAAGTGGATCACAAACATTTCTAAGTAAAATACAAAATGGTGATAGTAATGGTGATGCAGCTATTCTTGAATTTGAAGACGATAATACCGATTTTCTCGATATGGAAGTAGATAAATTGAATCAGCATCCATGTATGGTGATGATGATTTGTTTATTAAAACATATGGAACATAATCACATCATACCAACAACAATAATAACAACGGGAGAAAATGGTTCAACAACAACAACAAATGGAACAGGAAATATTGTTCATTCTCAACCATCAAGTATGGCGGATATGCCAACATGGATGTCATACTTACATAAAAAGTTTAGTGATCCAACAACACACACGAATATTAAATTATTTCTATTACGTCTCATTGTTCATACACATACTATATTTAAACCATATTCAAGATTTTGGTTGACATCAATTATACAATTATGCAATAGTCTATTTGAAAATTCAGCTACCGTAGAAGAGGGTATCAATACGTTTATATTAGGTGAGTTTTCAATCTGATATTTTTCATCGACGATGTTAGAGATAAACTGATAGCATGACTCTTTTACACTTCTCAGCCGGACTTCTTATAACTTTTGATGTAGAAGAGGAACTTCTTTCAAGATTTGGTATATTATACCGTTAGTGCTATAGTACAAATGTATGATGAGAAATTTTAAAAACGTTTCTTTTTCGCGAGGTTCTTAGCGAGTACCTGCTCGACATGGTGCAGTCCAATAAAAGCTTTAAAAGCAACAGAAAATACTTCTGCTTTTGAAAAGGTTTTCTAGAAATCTACCAAAATACAAGAATGTTTTTTTTGCTATTCTCAACTAAAAGAACATATAGAGCAGGCAAAATAAAGCATATCTTGATATTCTGACATAGTTTGGATGGATTGTGACTGAGTTATGAATTTTTTAATTTTATTCAGAAATATGGCTTATTTCACCTAATATAGACTTTTGCTAGGTCTTTGAAAAACAAATGTTGCCACGAGGTTCAGCATAGTCGACTACCTATGTGTAAAATCAGCCTATTTCTATGGCAGTTTTCAGAGATCCAAACTGGTTTTCCAAAGATCCTCTGAAAAACCCGCTAACAACCTTACGAAATAGAAACGTTTTTAAAATTTCTCATCATACATTTGTACTATAGCACTAACGGTATAAAATACCAAATCTTGAAAGAAGTTCATCTTCTACATCAAAAGTTATAAGCAGTCCAGCTGAGAAGTGTAAAAGAGTCCTGTGAATAGATACAAGCGATGACTAGATGTTGTTAAATATTTAGATAGATTGAGGTATCAGAATAAGGCTTGTTAAAACTTTTAATTAATGATGTGTAGAATAGTTGGATTATTAGTTGGATTCTTTGTCCGATATTTTTAATTCAATGTTTCTCTTTCAGATGTTCTTGTTGTCTTATTATCATGGCATACAGTTGCTATACCATCTGAAATTGATTCAACACCTGTACAACGTTTAATTTCCAATTTATTTGTTCATTGTTCACATAAAAATTCAGCTATAACAAAAAGTAATTTGGATTTAATTAAACGTCTAGTTGAATATTGGAAACCACGTATACAATCACCGACACAAATATTATGTAAGCTAATATCAGATCAAGATCAAAATTCACGAAAAAATTCAATTGGTATTCAATTGACAGCTACTTTGGTAGCAAATAATATTCATCCATATTCATTTCATCCAGAAATAACTGAGGATCGTTTTAATGAAACATTGGTAAAAAATTTAAAAAATAATTTTCGAATAATTTATGCAGCTGCCGCTGAAGTCGTAGGAATGTTATTAAAATGTAAAAAATTAAAATCAGAAAGTAATACAAAATTATTGGAACAAATTGATAATGCATTTAAAGGATTACAACAGCAAGACAGAATTATTACTTGTTTATATTCGATACAAAAACATTATCCAGATATTATTGACAACAGGTATATTGATCATTTTTCAAGTAATCGTCATGCTGATGTTGTTTTACGTTTTAGATATATGAATCAACTGATGTTTGCATTGAAACGATTGCATGGTGATCTGAAAATGGAATGTCTTGAAGCGATGGAAGCAGGCATTGCCGATTTTGAACATGCATACAAGGAATTGAAAACACGTGGTATTCTCGATATAATAGCGCATAAGTATGTTGTTTAAAACTGAATTTGATGTAAGGCACCGGGGATTCAACATCGGAAAAAACCTTTGTGTTTCGAAAACTTATTTTGAAGCTTTCAAACGTTTTTTTACAGATTGAGCATTGGAAACTGAATTAGGAAATGTGTTTTGAAATTTTCCCCTATGTAATGTGATTGTAGGAAAAATTCGTTTACTAGCATAGCTCCAAAGCGAAGACCTTCCCCAAAAGCTATGTAGTTTTTGTGTTAAGAGATGGAGCTCTAATTCTTGCGCCATTCGATCCGCCTTAATTTGTAGTACAAAAATTTGAATCGCTTTTTTCTATAAATTTTTTCTGAATCAGAAGCGAAAAAATCGAAATTCTGCCCGTAATTCTCTATCTTCTCCATCTGAACTCACTTTTTATGCAATAAAAATGTCATATTCGGAGTTAGCGTCGAAAATCGAGCTGAATGATATACTTTCTTTTACCCTATCCGATCACCTTTGTTTTTTTCGAATTTTCACGTCGAAAAATGACTGAGATTTTCACCAAAAATTGAAATCAACGAAAAATTTTCGAAACATTTATCATTTGGCTCGGTTTTCGACGCTAACTCCGAATATAATATTTTTATTGCATAAAAAGTGAGTTCTGATAGAGAAAATAGAGAACTACGGGCATTTCGATTTTGGCGCCGCCTTATAACAATAATTTTACTTTATCGTCATCTTTTTGATATTTTCCAGTCTATAGAAATCAAACAGCGACTAGATTTTAAATTTCATCTCATGAACAAGTTTCCTTGTTGAAACGATTCATCTTCAATTAACTGACTGTCTTTTTTCAGAGATTTTGGAATTCGTGTTGTGGCATTACGTTTATTGTATAAACTATTACCAAAATTAAATGTTGATCAAATGTATGAAGTTGGTTTGGTAATATCGATTGACGGTCCAAATGAATGTCAAAAGTGAGGAAACAAATTTGTATTTTGTTTCACTGATCATCTTAAGTCTATTAAAGTAGTGGTATGATGAGTAGAATGTCCCTACGACATGATAATGGACATAGCGTCCATGTGTTAGAGAGATGGAAGAGGTTAGAAACAATCTTTTTTGTTCTAGTTGGGCATTAGAAATTTACAAATGGATGTATGATTATTTAATTAAATCACGCGATTTGGATGTCAAAGAAAACGCTACTCAGTTACTAAATGCTGTTCGTGAACAATTATTACGTCTGTTATTAAGTAAAAATGAAGTAACACGTTTAAATTGTCGTAATTTTTGGTGTGAGCCATCTCATTTGCCAACATCTACCGTAAAACGTTTACCAGCATTAGTAACATTGATGTATTCAAATAAAACTGAACAAGAATATTTGAATTATTGTACTAATTTCTTACTGGAACGTACTACACATAGTCCCGATTATAATCGTTTAATATTTGATCAACCATTAGAAAAATGTGTATTTCACGATTTTCCATTGACATGTAATTGGCGACAACGACATCATACTTATATGACACCATTATTTACACAAGATCAAACAGTATTAACAGCTACAACAACAGCAGCCGGAATGTTAACGAGCCGTAGTTTAATGTCAATGGATCCCGTTCATTTGATGCAAACATTATCAAGCACAACCACCGATGAACAACAACAATTATTAGCTACTCAAGATATATTCAGTAAAAATCAATTTATACCAACGCAACAATTAGAACAAGCATCTAAATCTTCTTATAATTGGTTAAAACAATCAAATACTTTGGATACTGCTAGTACATTTGCATTACCAACAATGCAAACACACAAAAATAGTGCTTTATTATTTGATATTGGCGGTGATAATAAACGAACAAAATTACCATCACAAACACAACAAGCTGAAGATAGTGAGATGGATGCTGATATATTTCGATTGAAAAGACGTTTTCTTAAAGATAGTAAACAATTATCAAATTATTTTATTAAAAAACAATATGAAAAAAAACGTCAAGAAACAGAAATGTTAAATGATGTTAAATTAAAACAAGATAATCAAGTTGAAAAATATCGTTCGTATCGTATTGGTGAATTACCAGATATACAGATTAAATATAGTGATATTATTATACCGTTACAAGCATTAGCTCAATACGATAATTATACGGCAAGAATATTGTATTCAAATTTATTTATCGCCATATTACAACAAATTGAATCTCGATCCAAAGATGAATATTTAGAAACATTAGCTTCGCTATCATATGGCTTTAAAACAATTTTATCAAATTCTGAAATTTATTATCCATCGTTTATTGCCGCCTTGCTCGATATTATTTTGGCTAAAGCAAAACATGTTCAAATAGAACCGGAATTTATTAGTGGTGCATCGATAGCTAGCGGTCTTGAACCTGTTGGTAAGAATATGTACTGATTCTTCGAGCAGCATAAAAGATCTATCGCACTAAACGAATGAACATGGATAGCGTAACTCTGTTTCTGGAATGCAATTCCGTCACAGTTTTTGTCTATTTTGTACTCTCTTTTTCTCTCTTAAAAAAGTTGAAAAATAAGTGGCGAGAAAATTACACTCCTGTAGCAAAGTTACGTGATTTGACTGAGCAGATACTAGAATTTAGACTCTCAGCTGTCTACCATGATAATTTAGAAAAACGAACATAAATGACCTCTATCGTTTCCAGCTCATCGTTTCGTGTATAATAAGAAGCTCTTAATGTATGCTACCGTTGTTCACAGTTTGTTTTTGTTTTTTGCAATTAAGGTATATTGGCAATCGAATCCTTTATTCCTTTACAGCCATGGAAACCTTGGATTCAACCAAAATTCGAACCACTTGAATCTCAAACACCATCAAAACGTCAACGATTAGTGTGTGATCCAAATGTACGTATATAAGTTCGACTATAGAAAAAAACGATTCTCTTTCATTCTCCATCTCTTTTCACTGACTAATGGAGAAATTAGTCACTCTTTACTTTAAATCTTTCATTTTCTTCTGAAATATTACTATAGTACTGTGCAAATATAAATTTTATAATGAATCTTTCATTTTTTAATTCTAAACAATTATTATATTAGCCAATGATAGATTACAATGCATTAAATTTAATATTATCTATGTATGCATTGTTTTGACTAAATACTTACTGAAGGTTTCTCTTTTTCTCTCTATGTCAATAAATTTTTTGATAAAATTAATTATTCGACTTAAATTTTTTATTAAGGAAACTGCCATGTGGCTGGAATTAGCCAAATGTTATCGTTCATTATCAAATTATGAAGATGTTCATGGAATATTTTCAAAAACGCCTGGTATTCAATCATCAACACGAGATGCTATTCGTGAAGAGAGTCGTGGCAATTTTCAACAAGCATTAAATTCATATATAACAGCAATGAATGAAGCTGATGATCAATCTCAAATGGTAACAGATGAATATAATAATTTACATACGGCTCAATTGGCTGAACAAGAATTTTGGCAACAATCAGCATTAAAATGTTGTAATTATTTAACTAATTGGAGTGTAATGGAGAAACGAATATTTCTTGATGATACAACATTCGATACATTATGGTCAGATATATATCAAGGTAATAGTGACATGAGAGTTGACTTGTAGTTTAATTAGGAAAATGTCTCTAAAGACGAGAAACACTTATTATTAAGCTTAGACGAACTATATTTTAAATCATATCTCGTTTCTCTATTTAAAAATATGATTTTGACTATATGTTTATTCATTGTTTAGTCAATTTTATGATGCCTTATGCCATACGTTCAAAATTAAAATTATTAATTACTGGCACCGAAGAACAACAAGCACAACAAGAAGATTTATGTCAATTTTTTAATAATTTATCATTAAATTCAATTTCTACAAGTACATCAGAGACAACAAATACATTTGTTAAACGATCTTATATTGAAAAACAATATCCATATGAATTAGCAACATTTTATTTATATCAAAAAGATTTCGATCGTTCGAAATATTATATTCAATATGCTAAAGAACAATTTCTATCACGTTGGTCAACTATCTCTCGTCTATGTGAACATGGACGAAAACATACTATTCAATATATTCAAGCTTATTATGAATTAGAACAATTTTTATCATTTGTAGAACAAAATCATCCATTATTAAAAACTATTCAACAAATATTTTCTACAAATGAAAATGATACGGATACCATACGACGATTTCAACATAAATTAAAACATGATTTAATTGAACAATGGCAATTACCCGATATTGTACGTAATACTATTCATATTTGGGATGATATAATTACAAATCGTTCACTCTTTTTGGATGTTATTGATGATATTGTTAGTTCATCAACACATCAATCAACAAATTTAAAAATAAAAGAATTCGATTCTCTTTTAATCGATTATAAAGTGCGATCGTCATTGGATTTAGCCTATTGTGCATTAAAACAACGAAATTATAAATTAGCTACAACAAAATTAAGTGATACACAAAAAAAATTAGATTTTTGTAAACAATCAGATTTATTACGTTTGTATTGGCATGAAATTTATTGTGATGTACATTTGAAACGAAATCAAGCTAATAAAACAAATGGTTTGTCATCATTATTAGATACTCTAGTAGCAAAAGAATTAAAAAAAATGGATTCTAAAATCGAAAAATTAAAAGTTTGTGATGAACATACGGCACATTTAAATATGACCTATGTTAGTTTAAATATTCAATTTTGTCGTACAGTTATTGATTCTCTATTGGATCAACCACAATCATATGCCGATTATGAAGGAGATGCAAAATTATCAAAAACAAAAAGTAAACAATTAGAATTTTATTTGAATGATAGTGGTGATTCACATAGCACGAGTATTGCATATGATACCAATCAACTTATTAGTTCATTGTTTCAAAAATGTGTAAATACTTTAAAAAGCAATATTCAAAAACAAGAAGAAAGACTACCAAATACGGTAAGCATTTTGAAAATATAATTCTTCATTGTTTGACCATCTCTAGTTTAAAATTTTTTTTAATCAAAAAACTACTTAATAAGTGAATAAGTGACACTTTTTACTTAAAATCTGGAAACTAAATTAATTACAAGCGATTCCTCTTATTTCCGCTGTTTTTGATTGTATGTCATAGTTTTTATCCAACAGTTTTATTGAATACTTTCATTTGATTGTAATGGAGGAATCCGTCTGAGATCGACAATTGTCCCATTCTTTTCTTCCTTAAAACAGTTCCATAATGAGTAAAAAAGCTTTCTAAGTAGTTTCCCGTATTTCCTGCAGCTCAAATCCCTTCATTTCGTAGTTAACAGTTCACCAATCAACTTTCGCACTGAGATCACACGTAACACAGATGAATAGATTTTACTCCAACTGCCTTTCAATTGCAACTTTAAATAAAAACACAGTTCGGTAGCTGTTGAAATTCCCTACAAGTTGAGCTCGTTCCAATTTCTAAGTTGACATGGCCAGGTTACAGTAGGATGTATTTAGTAGCGTATTTAGTATAATCGTGGGATTTATTTGTCGAAAAATGATTTAAAAAGAAATAGAGGAAAGTAGGATGGAGATGAAAGAACTGAATGAAAATTTCTGTATCAAATTATTACTTGAGATCTTTCGATATATGTGTTTTGCTATATTAAAAGTGCTGATGGCATAGGTATAGTCACAGTTTAGCGATTTACAGTGTTAAGTCAAAAGTATTTGTGTTTTTGAACCCTTTTGTGATGCATGTGCATGGTATTGGTTGTGGACGATGCGGATTCAAGTGTTCTTATTTCCAAAGAAGCTCAAGTCGATTTGCCAACATCGAAAGTCTCGATTCGAATAAATCAAACTTCTGAGTCACATCGGTATTACTGTACATCTCCTTCGGGTATAAAAACAGATCGTCTCATAAATATCATCTTTTTCTGC